TTTTGCCTTTATCTTCTTGGTTCATGTGCCCTTTTTTCCCCTCGTTGAAGACACAATACTATATGAAAGTCTCTGGCCCAGTGCAAATATTACATCCTGAAAGGTAGTTCCCACCCTTGCCTTCTCCAAGTTGGCACTTCAGCTCTGTTTTCATCAGGATGGTCCATCTCTCAGCAGAAAGCTTCAGAATGGTAGAAAATATGCTGAGATCACATGGGCTTTATTTCCCTATAAACAATGCCCTGGGTTGTATGTTATACAGGATTCTAGGCCTGTGGATCAGACATTCCAAAGGTAATGATATATCCAGACTGTTAATCCTTCTAAGTTGGAAGAGGCCCAACCTAGCCCAAACTAGCCAAACTTGGCAAGTTGACCAGGTCAATTTGGTTTCCTTTAAGATTAGTTCATACTAGGGGTTCAGAGTTATTCTCTATCCCTGGCACCTTAGATATTCAAAAGTAACACTAGACAGATGAGCTTTCTAAATACAGGTCTATGTGGTCATGCCCAGGCCCAGCCTTCCTGAGGGCCACGTCATTCATTGTCTAATGATGTCATTGCTGATAAAGACTGGCTCAGCATTCCTGCTATGGAAATGAACAGGAATTCGATCTCTTATCTATCCTTTATAGTTGAAGAGCTATGAAGGGGAGGATCATGTTCATTCAAGTTCATTTTGGAATTGATTATGATATTCAGTTTAATTTGTACTTGCCAAAACTTGTCCCTAATGGGTGAAGTCCATGCTTTCTGAGTCTAAATTTCTACAAGTCAGTGCAGATCTATCTCTGGAAAGAAGTCTACTTATTTTCACTGTCAATCTTTCAAGAACTTTAAGTCCCTCTAAAGAGCTGTAAATATAATTTTTCATACTTTTCGATTCCTTCCTTCCTTCCTTCCTTCCTTCCTTCCTTCCTTCCTTCCTTCCTTCCTTCTTTCTTTCCTTCCTTGTCCTTCTTCCCTTCCTTCCTCTCTCTCTCTGCCTATCCCTCCTTCCTTCCCTTGCTTCTTTTCTTTCTCTCTTTCATTTTTTTAGAGATCAGAGATATTAAGCTCATCAACATATTTTATCAAGGTTAATTTGTTATCCTCTTCCTTTATTCTGCCCCCACTGCATCTCTGAAAGATGCACACGCATGTGTGTAGGTGTACGTGTGTGTGTGTGTGTGTGTGTGTGTGTGTGCATGCACATGACAGAACAGGGGCTCAAACTCAGGGCCTTGTGTTCTTGATAGTGCTCTACCACTTGAGCCACACTTCCAGCATTTTGCTGGTTAATTGGAGATAAAACTCTCATGGGCCTGGGTTATCTTTGGGCCTTGATACTCAAATCTCAACCTCCTAAGTAGCTAGAATTACATGTGTGAGCCACCAGCACTTAGAATTTCATGTATTGTGAGTATATTGGTAATTTGCTCTCAAATGTTGCTGACTAGTCTATGTGTGTCCGTGTATGTGTGTGTACGTGTGTGTGTGTGTGTGTGTGTGTGTTGCTTTTGGAATTTATTCTCTCTGCTCTTTGCAGAGAAATGTGGGGGGGGGGGGTGAGGGTTGTCAGAGATATTTGCTTAGATATAATCAGTGCTTAATCCAGCAGAGTGTGTGCAAAGGTTTGACATCTCCCTAACTTGCTAACGCTCTCTAATGCTGTAGAGTGGATCATTTGAATTCTTTTGTCTGATCCATACAGTCACAGATAAAGAACACTGCTGAACCCTTGTGATTACATTTTAAAAATGTGAGTGAATGTAAACTAGTTAGTGCCCAAGTATGTCAGAACAGATAGGACAGCTAGATGCCTCTTCCAGAATATAAATACTCTGTATGTCTGTGTAACAGTTTCATAACTTTGCTTACCTTCTCAAAGGGAAAATTCAGAGCCTCCTGATGAAGGAACATTAGCCCCTACTTGTTCTGCTTTGTTCTGGAAGGTATCAAGGGCCATGGAAGCAAAACAACAGGAATGACAATAAATCACACATTGCAGAAAATGTCTCTTCCTCAATCTTGTATAGCATGGACAATACTGTTCACAATCCTTCAATTACTCATTGCATCGCTTGAGGCAGACGACCTGTCGGTTACAACATCTCACAAAACCTCTTCTTCAACAAGTCATATTTTATATGAAAGAAAGGAACAGATAATTTTTTGCACATTGTGTACAGAATTCTTCTCTGTTCTGAAAGGATGCAGATATTCTAAATATGTGAAAATTTTACTTAAAAAATTAATGTTTTCAACTCATTAAAAACCCCTAAAATGGTGTGAGGTAAGGATCTGATTTTTTTCTACATATGTGTCAATCCTCTCAGCATCATTAAATGAAACATGCTTGCCATATCAGTTTTCATCAACTCATTGGTCATTGGTCACTTATATGTAGTTCTGCTTCTGAATCTTTCATTATATTATTTGTCCTCAAGCCAGTTGTAGTCTTTAAGAATTCCTTTGGGCTAGGAATGAGAATGTGGCTTAGTGGTAGAGTGCTTGCCTAGCATGCAGTGCCACATAAACAGGAAAAGCTGGCAGTGGAGCTGTGGCTCAAGTGGTAGAGTGCTAGCCTTGAGCAAAAGAAACTCAGGGACAGTGCCCAGACCCTGAGTTCAAACCCCAGGACTGGCAAAAAAAAAAAAAGAATTCCCTTGGTTATTCCTAGTCTCTCCCCTTCTACATAGATTTTAGAGTTACTTTATCCAGGTTTGTGAAATTATTGCAATGCAAAGTACAGTGTTTTGTTTTGTTTGTTTGTTTTTGTCCTTGGGCTTGAACTCTGGGCCTGTGTGCTGTCCCTGAGCTCTTCAGCTCAAGGCTAGCACTCTACCCCTTTAAGCCACAGCAACACTTCCATTTTCTGGTGGTTAAGTGGAGAGAAGAGTCTCACATATTTTCTTGCCTGGACTGGCTATGAACCATGATCCTCAGACCTCAGCCTCCTGAGTAGCTAGGATTACAGGTGTGAACCACCAGCACCTGGCCTAGTGGTTTTTTGTTGTTTGTTTGTTTGCCTGCTAGTCTTGGGGCTTGAACTCAGGGCCTGGGTACTATCCCTGAGCTTCTTTTGCTCAAGGCTAGCTACCACTTGAGCCACAGTGGCCTTTTCTGTTTATGTGGTATTGAGGAATGGAACCCAGGGCTTCATGCATGCTAGGCAAGCACTCTGCCCCAGTGTATTTTATTTTATTTATTTATTTTTTGTTTTTTGTTTTGGTCCAGTTGTGGGGCCTGAATTCTGGGCCTGGGCGCTGTCCCTCAGCTCTTCAGCTCAAGGCTAGCGCTCTACCACTCAAGCCACAGCACCACTTCCGGCTTTTTTCTTTTTGCTTATGTGGTGCTGAGGAATTGAACCCAGGGCCTCAGGCATGCAAGGCAAGCGCTCTACCACTGAGCCACCTTCCCAGCCCCCCCAGTGTATTTTATATACAGAATTCTTTCACCCACAAATTTGGTGTATCTTTTTATTATGTATATTAATAAAATGGCCTAATTTTCTTCACACAGACACTAGTCTTTTACCCAAGTTATGATATGACATGTTGCTATTGTAAGTAGGGCTTTTTTAGAATAAAAGCTGGGACTTTTTTTTTACATATTGATCTTCTATTCAAGAATGTTGCTCAGTTCTTATATTTAACATAATCCTTTATTAAATTTGCTTGCATTTCATAAATCATATTTTTCTTTTCTCTTAATTCTTAAACTGTATAGATTCTTTTTATTCTTCTTTTATTATGTTGGCAAGGGCTTCACTACACTGTGGAGTATATACGACCAAAGCTATTTTTTGTTTTATTAACTTTAAAAGGAAGTGTCTATTGAATTAACATTAAGAATAATGCTTGTAGAATGGAAATGGTGGCATAAACTTGTAATCCTAGTAGTCAGAGTTGAATACAGGTGAGTCTCCAAACCAAAGATAGCTAACAGAGAGTTCCAGTGTACTCATTACCTTGTTCATGTAACTGTAACCCCTCTGTACAGTATTTTTTATAATAAAAAACATACAAAAAAGAATAATACAGCAAGATTGTCTTTAAAAAAAAGAAAGAAAAGCTAAGCAGGGTCATACAAACTTGTAATCCCTGCACTTGGGAAGAAGAGGAAAGAAGCCCTCCAGGCTGGGTTACACAGTAAGACTCCATCTCAAAACACCAAAAAAAAAAAAAAAAAAAAAACCCAAACAAACCATAAAAAACCCATACAACTTTCAAATTCAATAATAGTTTAAATTATGTTCACCTTCATCATTTAAAAAAATCTGTATGTTTTATAGTACTTGCTTATTATTTAAAATATCTATGTCCACTAAGGTTTAGTTTCTACCCTAAAAAGCAGAACTAGCTCCTTCCGGCTTGAGCCTGCCAAAGGGCCACCCTTCTATCCTTGGTATGATCCCACCCCCTCTGGCTCTGATCATGGTTACTAAACCTCCAGCACTTGAAAAAAAAAGTCTTATTTCTTTTCTCTATTGTCACTGTTGGCTTTATAGAAATTGATCTATTTTACCAGTGTTTTTATTTTATTTTATTTTTTTATAAAACTAGCATTTCCCTCAGTGCTGGTAGCTTATGCCTCTAATTAGCGATACTCAAAAGCTGAGATCTGAAGTTCATGGTTTAAAGCCTGCCTGGGCAGGAAAAGTTTTTAAGATTCTTACCTTCAGTCAACCACCAAAAAGCCAGAAATGGAGCTGTGACTCAAGTGGTAGAATGCTAGCCTTGAGCAAAAAAAGGTCAGGGACAGTGCCCAGGCCCTGAGTTCAAGCCCCAAGACTGGCACAAAAACAAAAGAAAACAGAGCAAAAAACACCTAGCAGTTTGTTTGGTTCACCCTTTCTATCATTTCTTTGTATCTTGGTCTACTTTTAATGTTCAAGTTGTATATATAATTTTATTTATTTTTCTTTTTTATTATTTTTATTGTGAAAATACTGTACAGAGGGGTTACAATTACTTTTATTTATTTTTCTAAATTCTTTTCCTCTTCCTTGCTTTCAGAGCTAAACCTTTTTACTTGGATAAAGGAGACAGCAGAGAAAGGATTTGTTAGCTCTGGTCTATTTCAAACATTACCTGCGTTATTTATGCAAATATATGAGATCACAAAGGTGAGTACCCAGTCACTGTTTCTGAAACAGCTTATGGGGGCCCTGACCACATGGTAGCTGCCAGGCTGGTGTGCACATAGCTCTAACTTCGAGTCCCTGTTTCTGCAGTCTCCTTTGTGGTTTCTTCCCTAAAGAGAGTGTTGTTGCTTTTTAAGTCTAAATTGGGCTGTCCTGCCCACCACTATCTTTGGCCTTTTAAAATAGAAAGGTTTTCTAAGGAAAATGGTTTTAAACACTGGGAGAAACTCAGGAGATTCTAATACCCAGCTTGAAGAAGAACAGAACCTGTACCTGGGGAACTGAACCTTTTCTCTAGGAGACTGAATTCTCTCAGCATATTGTCTCACTAAAATATATTCTTTGAATATATCAAAAGTGTATTTTTTGAACCAATCTCTATTTAATAGACCGGAGGGAAAGTTTTCAACTGGTCTCTGTGATGATGGTTTTTGTTACTCTCTAGGTTTATTTTTTATTTAATTTTTATTGTTTATTTTATTTTATTTTTGTCATAGGGAAGGGAACATAGGGAAGAAAAAGACAATTGGGAGACTTGGCAAACCCTTTTGAACAAATAATAGTGCCACGGGCAGTGATAGCTAATTTTTCAATCCAAAGGAAATGTTCCTGATTAATATCAATAATCTGACAGAGTCTACAGTATTCTTTAATATATGAATATAAAAATGCTGCTAGTATGTCCATCATCAAACATTTTCTCTGGACACACACACACACACACACATATATATATTTATATACTTTTTTCTCTCTCTCATGCTTGATGACACCAATTGCTTTTTAGCTATGTTGAAACTATTTACAGAAACAGATCTTGAGAAATGCACCTTAGCAGAGAACAGGAGAGAAAGTTTAGGACAGAAAACATTAGGATGACTCTCCAAGGAATAAATTTGAATGACCAAAAGAAGATTCTGGACAGGAGAAAACATGAATCAAGTGAATCAAGGTGAGTCCCCTTTTTTATTTCCCTTAAAATAACTTCCTCCAGGTTAGTGATTTAAGGAACCTATTCAAATACTTTATCTCACTTTGATAAAGACAACCTGGAGCCCTATAAATTAGATTGTATGAGTGTAGCCCCATTTTTACAGACTAGAAAGCAACTTCACTGAGAACATGACACTAGTGTAGATGGGTTAGTCTGTGTGCAGTTTTGTATTGTATCTCATTTTCCCCTTTTATACTGCACACACAATGATCTACTTTTGATTGTAAAGTTATTGACCTAAAGCAAGCTGTGGAGGCAGTCTCCCTGAGACAGGCCTATGCTTGTCAGAAATACAAGTCTAGCCAGGCTGACCTTTGAGTTTGTGTTCTCCAGTTCATTTAGGCCATGGCAGAGCAAAATAAATAAGAGATAAAATGTTTCACAGCAAATAATGTTCTCTTTCTTCTTGACTCTCCTTTCCCTCCTCCCTTTCTCCCTCCCCCTCTCCCTCCTCCTCCTTCCCTCCTCTTTCTTTCTTTCAGTGCTGATAAGAACCAAGGGCCTTGACATGCTAGACAAGAGTTCTACCATTTAGGTACACTGACATCCTCTAACATACTCCTGAATACTCATACCCTGTTAGGACAGATGATCCTGCTTGTAGCTAGAAAAGACTGCATAGTAGTTAAAATATATGTGGCGTGGAAGCCATTGCATTCCTTAGGAATACAGGGCATAAAAATCACTATATTTTTAAATATGCAAGCCTAGTGCTAAAAATCTCATTTGTAGCCAGGCACATTAGCTCACATCTGTAATCCTAGCTACTCACTTCATCTTTTGAGGCTATCCCTGGCAAAAAGTTGAGCCCTTATCTGCATCTATCTGACCAGGTTTTGAGACCCCATCCCAAGTGATACACAGCTGTCATTCCAGCTACACAGGAAATATAAACAGGAGAACCTAAGTCTAGGTGAAAATTGAGGCCCTATTTGAGAACTAATGAAAGCAAAAAGGGCTGGGAGTGTAGGTCAAGTGGTAGAACACCTCCCCAACAAGAACAAGGTTCTGAGTTCAAATCCAGTACTATTAAGAAAGGAAAGGAAGAAAGAAACTCAAGCAGAAATTACATTTGCATTGTGTCTTTGATAGTTGGGGAAAGACTAACCATGGAAATAATTTTAAAACATTTTTTCTCTTCATTAGCCATAGAAGTATTGATATTGAAAAAGCTAGTAAGTGAAGCATGTAAAAAAGTGAAGCATGGGAAAAAATAGCAAATAAGGGACTTTTCTAGTTAAAGTAAAAAACCTTTTTCATATAACCAATATATACTTTTTTTAGGTTTACATTGAACATTTTTCTATTCATCTTACTATAATATCCCTTAGAGTTTAAGCTCAACCCCTGTCATTATTTGTAAGATAAGGAGTGATTCTATAGTTATATTTTATTTTATATTTATTTGCAAGGTAAGTGAGTGGTTTTTAATATTTATATGTGTATGCTTTTATATGCATTTCTGAGGCTGTACACAAATATTAGCACTATGCATGTATCAAAAATTAATGATTCACATTCGAAGTCAATTATTGTGAAAAGAATCATAAATTGGTAGGAAAAGAGAGAAAGCAGAGTCTTTAAAAAGCTGATCTTCAAAAAGAAACCAGAACAATGGTTTTAGAAAAGACTCAGCTTTGGGCTGTAAGTGATCAATAGCCAGGACTCAGCTTTGGGAAGTAAGTGATCAATAGTCAGGACTCAGCTTTGAGCATCCTGAGTTGGGTCAAGGTTCTCAGCAGTGAATGGTGTGAAATGATCATGATGCCTTCAACCCGTCACTCACTGGTGGCTTGAGAAGTTTCCATCTGCTGCAAGAAGACTTAAGGTACCCTCCCCCCCCCCTGCCCCTCCAACTCTAGCTCCAGGGTTGGTGGTGCCCTCAGCCTCAGAGTCCAGGATTACAACCAAGACAGCAGCACTCCCTGGCTGTCGGAGACACAGTGGGCTGAAACAGTCCTGAGGCGTGGGCAGTGCCCTGTGCCATACCATGCCTGAGCTGATGAAGCTTTTGTTCCCAAAGCAGCTACAATTGATGAGGCAACCCTGGTGGCACACGGGAGGCAGAGAATTGGGATGACTCCAGGCACCCTGGCAAGCCAGAGGAGGGAGGGAGGTGGTTAGGATGGTATGGCCAGAGAACCACCTCCTCCCATCGGCTGGGTGCTCTCAAAGCACCAGGATAGGCTCCAGGAGCTGGCCCTCTCCGCTGAGCGTCCCGAGGCCTCGCGTAGGACCGGCAGGCAGCTCCCGCCCACACCTCCAGGTGTGCCGTCCCCACCCTTACATTACTCTTAGGGAAAATTGATGGTTTGCCCTGGCAAAGTTAATTCCGCGAGGGAAGGGGGAAGAGAAATGTATATTCCTGGGTCTGGAAAACGAAGATTGCAGAAGGCAGCAGTTGTTTTTGGTCTGGAGTCTGGGGGACATAAAAAAAAAAATCCGAGGCAGAAGCTTCAGCCGCCTTTCTTCGAGCAAAGTCCACTCTGTGTGGCCGCCTGCAGCCAGGGCTGAGCGCGGAGAAACTTTGCGCCTTCCGGAAAGATTAGAAACGGGCGCCGGGAGAGAGTGAGGCCTGACACCCGGGATTTTGCGGGAAGGGGTGGTGGTGGGGGGGCGCAGGATGTTTTCCAGAGCTTTCCACGTGGGGATGGACGAGCGGATTCACGGTGCAGAGAGCACGGCGGAGTCCTGCAGGCTGTCCCGGGGCGCTCGGGTGAGTGCGGGAGGGGTCGAGGCGCGGGTGGCCCGGCGTGCAGGGGGAGGTGGGCGTGTCCGCACCAGGGCTGGGGGGGGGAGGGCGGGAGGTGTAGAGGGGGGCAGAGGCTTGGTGAGATAATGAATGGCAGGCTTAGGCTCCCCGCCCCCCCTCCAGTCAGCAGACCTGCAGGAGAGCGAGCGGGGCGCGGGAAGTTGGGCGAATGAATGGGGTGAATTGGATGGCAGAAGTCAGGGGCGCAGGAGACACCACCGAGGTATAAGGGAGTGCGGGGAGGGGGGGGGGGGAAGAACCAACTGGGACAGGGCGTCTGGGGGTGCGGGGAGTTGTTGACTGGTGCTACGTGGAGAAAAGAAAAGAAGGAGGAGGGCCGGAGGCCGGCCCTCCCTCGGCACCGCCGCCAGCTCCCCGGCTGGTGACTTCCTCGTCCCCCTGGCCCAGCGCGGCCGCTGGCACTTGGGTGTCCCGGGGCCGAGCGGGCCGAGCACTGAGCACCGGACACTGGGACTTGGTGGAGCCGCCCGAAGGCAGCCTCGGGGCGGTGGGAACCGGATTCCTGGCGGCCCCGGCAGGTAAAAGGGGCGGGGACAGCGCCCCCTGTGCGCGGAGTCCCCGGGCGGCCTCGGCTCTGGCCGGGCGCGCTGGGTCCCGCGGGTCCCACCGAGGACGGCTCTGGTGGTGCACGCGAGTGTGAGTGCGCGCGCTCCCGGGCCGGGTGTGAGTATGAGTGCGCCCCCTCCTCGCGTCCCCCCGGCTGGGTATGAGTGTGAGTGCGCGCGCGCGCGCGCCCGAGGGGCCGGGTGTGAGTGTAGTTACGCGCACACACACATACACTCCGGAGCCAGGTGTGAGTGTGAGTGCGCCCCAGTGTGCGCGCTCCCAGGCCGGGTGTGAGTGGGTGCGCGCGCGCGCGCGTGCCCGGCGGCCTGCAGGAGGCGACGGGAACATCGCCTCTCGCCCCAACCAGTTAACCCAGCCCGGGGAGGGAAGTAGTCGCTGCCACCCGGGCCGCCCATGGCTCCCATCCCATGGCCAGGTCAGTGCGTCCGGGGGGAGAAGGGGGTCCATCCAAGGGACACGCAGAGGGGGCTTTGGGGGTGGGGACCGGGGAGGGCTGAGGCCGGGCCGCTCCGAGTTGCCTCCGGGGGCACCGGGGACCTAGATGCCGGGGCGGCTCGGATCCTGCAGCGCTGCGCGGGTGGCACCGTCCATGCCGGTCCTCACCGGCTCTGCACGCTTGGTGTAGGTTTTGGTGCAGCCGCCTTGCAAGTGTGCTATGCCAGGAACTAAGAAATGGCCAGGCAAAGGAAGGATCTGACTTTCGGTGAATGGCTTTTAAAAAACATCTTTCGGCTCTTTTGGCTTGGGTGGGATGAGTTTGTTGTGAATGGATTTAAAGTTTATGCTTGGTTTTTTTTCTTTGCTTGTTCATTTGGCCTTTGATGTGTTAAGAGTGAGAGCGTCCAGGAATTGTGACTGTCTGGGACCTGAGAATGTTATGCTGTTCTCTCTCTCTCTCTCTCTCTCTCTCTCTCTCTCTCTCTCTCTCTCTCTCTCCACACACACACCTCCATGTTCCATGAAACCTATGGAGTTTTGGTAAATGTTGGTTTCCACACAGCGTTGGCTTGTGAAAGTTTCACTGAGAATATCTTCTTTCTTATTCCAAGAGGAAAGCCATTGGCAGTTGTAAACATGGAAAATGTAAAACAAAATTCTCTATTCCTTCAGGCTTTAAGTCTGTTTTTCATCCATTTGCGTAAGCATCCCTTGCTCAGCCAGCACAATTGGGAAGTCAGAAGTCTGCAATTCAGTCTGCAGTTCTGGCTGAAGAGGGACTGACTCAACAGACACTTGGAAAACTGTTGAATTCCTCCAAGAAGTTACTCCTTTGTCACACAGGGTGAATACCAAGGAAAAAAGAGGTTTGTTTCACTAGACTCATGCAGCTTCATTAACACACCAAAGCATTGTGTGTCACCTACTTATTTCTGTCTTTGGCTCTCCAAAGGCAGCATTATGAGCGACAATCCTCAGCTTATAAGTATATTAGGGCTGTGTTTCTTTTCTTGACTGTTGAGCATAAAGAACCCTAATAGCACAAGAAGGAATGAGGCTGGAAGGCTGAGGGACAGGCTGGAGGACTGGGTGTCATGATCCTAGCCTACTGGTGCATGGCGTCCCCTAGTGGCATGACCCTAGCCGGCCAGGTCAGCTCCTCATCTCCATCTCCTCATTTGGAAAATCAAAGGGTTTGGTGGTCTTTGCCACTTCTTCCAGCAACCCAATAACTAGAGACTGGTAGATTGTCAACCCATAGCAGAATAGTAGGAAGAGAGGAAAGGCTAAAATGGGGAGATGATTGGGAAGGCAACAAAACTAAGGAGGGTAGGATGGAAGAAAACCAATACTAGGGGATGCCTGGAAGGGCCTGAATTTTCAGTGGACAGTTGATTTTCTCTACTTTTTTTTTTTCCTTTTCCATTTCCAGAAGGGAGTCCGTAATGCTGTTTCCCCCTTAAGCTCCAAGTCTTTGTCATTTAAAACTGGAAGCTGCTTAGCCTTAAAATTGACAAGGCCAATGTGATCCTTGTTGTCTGACTTATTTCTGCTAGGTGTCAGTGGACCAACTTGCCGTCAGTCAGCATTGATTGTCCCAGGGAAGAGTAATTGCCCAGGGCTGTGGGCATTCAGCATGGCTCTCACAGTGGAGGTGGTGGGGGAGATTAGAAGGAGGGGGAGAGAAAGTGGGGTGGAGAGAAAGATTAACAGTAGTGGGAATGGAAGTGGTGGCCCTTTTGAAACTTTTACTTATACTCAAAATTAATCTTCTTCAAAATGTTAAGTTGATTTTTTTATCCCCAAATTGTATCAAAGACTGTGAGCTTTTACTGTCTCTCTTCTGTTTGAGTTATTAGAACATTCAAGGGAAATGTAAATCTCCATTGTGGAGTCTTTTTGATACATATGACATTCAGTCTGAAATTAGTAAATTATTTTAGGGCAAAGGATCATTTAAATGCTTAGTAAGGAAAGCTGTAATCTGAGCAGAATACACTGTATCATTTCATCCCAGTAACAGGACTTTAGAAATGTATTTGGAGTTCAAGTTTTTAAATGTCTGTGTTTGATGTATGAAGCCTGTCATGCTTTTATTTATTCACTATTTATGGTTATCAATGTACTGTACACTTAAAGAACATGATTCACTTTAAAAGTGAAGTGTAATATAGTAAAAAAAAAACTAAAAGAAGGTCTTAGTTTAAAATCTGAAAATATTCTCTGGTCTTGCTATTACAGTTGGGTTTCTTTTGTCTATTATGTTACCCCCAAAGTAACAATACTTTAAAGATAATATTGTATTATTATTTAACTATCTTGTAGAGAGAGTTAAATTTTTAAGAAATCTCTTAGATCATTGGGAGAAAGGGAGAAAATTTGAATTCAGTAAGCAAACATTGAACTTGTATGATGAGAAGAAAAGAGCTAGAAAGAGGAGCAAAGCAGAGTATAGACTGAATAGGTGTATGAGTGTTATTTGGCTTGGCTGTGTAATAGCTCTGGGGTCTGTAAAGCTTGGCATACCGGCAGATGGAAAATTAAATTCTGACTCTGGCAAGGACTTCACAAGTCAAGCTTGAAGGATGATGTGCCTTTTAAAGGATGAAGTGGGGAGAGCAAAGATCTGTTATCCTGAGCCAGTGTAGTTGAAGTCCCTAGTGACAAATGCTGAAAGGTAAAAGCAGTGCATTATGGGAAGCTGGGATGTTATTTTAACGAGTCGTGCTACTTACAAAAGTCTTATTTAACCCCAAGCTACATGAAAACACTGAGTAACACATTTTAGGGGTCTAGTGAAAGGTGAAGGGTGAAAAGATACCAGGGTACTAAGTTTTTTTTTTTTTTTAATTTTAAGACATTAACTACCTTTCATTGGAGCCTTAGCCAAAATTTGGTACAAAAGTCAATGCAGAAACATAAAGTTCTTAGGAGTTCAAAACATGTATTAGGCAAAACTTCTGAACCTCTTAAAATTAAAAGGTAGAACTTCCAACCATGTAAAACCTTTAGGAACAATTACATTAGCAAAAAAGCAAAAACATTTGGCAACAATTCAGATTTAAACCAAATACCCAAATTATTCAAATCACCTAAAATATTTTTTGTTCATATTTAGAATAGCATAGCCATTTTCAGTAAAAATGTCTACTCTTCCCATTTCTTAATCATCCCAGAACATGTAGCTAGCCATCTTCCTCCCTAGATTTAAATAACAAATACAAATATTTATTCATGTAGGAGATTCTGTCATTTATCAGAATAGAATCATGAAAGTTTAATATCAAAAATGATCTCAAGCCAGTTGCCCAGTGGCTCATGCCTGCAATCCTAGCTACTGTACTTAGGAGGCTGAGATCTGGGGATCATGATTGGAAGCCAGTCCAGGCAGAAAAGTCCTGTGAGACTCTTATCTCCAATTAACCACTCAAAAACTGAAAGTGGTGCTGTGGCTCAAGTGGTAGAATGCTAGCCTTGAGTACAAAGAGGCTCAGGGACAGCACTCAGGCCCTGAGTTCAAGCCTTACAACTGATCCCCAAAAAATCCCTTGTCCAAAATGCTTACTTACAAGTCTTAGGTAGGAAATAAATTACTGTTTTCTACTTTTTTTCTTCTTAAGGTCTTACCTATATGACTGGCTTTGAATCCTTATCCTCCTCCTTCAGCCTCCCAATTACTGGGATTACAGATGTTCACTACCACCCAGGGCTTCAGTTCTCTACTTTCTAGTAACACCTAATGACTGAGATTTTATGATGATGGTAGACTCCCTTGTAATTTGTGGCTAGTAAATTTTAGGATACTGTCACCAGTTTATTAGTTTTACTGTATAAAATTTTTAGAATAAACTAGTATGTGGCTTCTCTCTCACTCCTTCCAGATTGATAGTGTTCTTTGTACTTTTTGAGGAACTTAGTAAAAACGGATGAGGTTATTG